ACAAGCGACGGACCTCGAATCTTGGACCTGGTCGCATCACAATGAAACTCCAAGCGGTCCTGAGAATATTCCGATGAAAAAATTGTCCGGGCTGAGGGAATTCGAACTACTCTGCAATTTAATCGACCTCCGCAGCAGATTCTCGAGCACATCGGGTGGTCTAGCTTTATGGCAGATTCTCGAGCACATCGGGTGGTTGAGTTTTACGACAGATTCTCGAGCACATCGGGTGGTCGAGCAAACCTCTGAGCAAAACCTGCAATCTGGTCGAGCTTGGCGAAGAGTTTCGAGCAGTCCAGTTGTGCGGCAATGGATCTCGAGCTGAACGACGGACCTCCAAGCTGACCTGAGTCTGGGCGAGCGGGTGAAGGATTTCGAGCAATTTGGTTGTACGGTAATGGACCTCGAGCTGACCTGAATCTACTGCGATAAGGGCGTTGAGCTACAAAGCTTTGGGCGAATCTGACATTATTCCGGCGAAAACACCTTGAAAATTGATGGGATATCGTCATACCCAATCCAATCCGTACTCGCCACTGAATACATTGACCCGGTTCTGCCGTCGGAGTACACCTCGAGCCTGTTCTTCTTCTTCATCCTCAGGTTGTAATCCAGCATCTCGCTTTGAGATCCACAAACTTTGACCGTAAAATTGACGGTCTTCCCGACGTTATTTTTGCGTGAAATTTTAAGGGTAGAACGAGCAAGACGAGAGCTTCGCGATGACGTAAACGTTTTTTAGATCCGATGACTTTTTGGGGTGGCCGGCGGTGGAGGCGACGACACACGGCGGCGGCGGCACCCGGTAATGGTCGGTGGCTGGAACTTCGCCTCGGTGAGAGGATTCCAGTGGTATCCTCGGATTTTCCATGGCCCTCCCGGATCTTCGTAAAAATGCGTTTGAATGTTCGATTTTGACCGATTTTTCTTTAGATCTGGAAACTTTGACCACGAAATTGAAGACCTTCCCGGAGGAATTTTTGAATGAAATTTTAAGGGTAACTTCACCTTGACGAGATCTATCCGCTGATGCCAACCATTTTTTGATCGGAGCACGTTTTCCGGCGGCCGGCGGCAGAGGTGACGGCTGGCGGTGGCGGCGGCCGGTGGAGAAGAAGGAGGTTTGCAAATTCTTTCAGTCGGGACTCCGCTTGACTTTTTGACGGCTCCCACAGACGGCGCCAATGAAGTGAATAAGATTCACCCGGGCTACTTCAACTCGATCCGGCCTCCGTACCTGCATAACCCAACGTCGGGGGTGGCCCCGGCGTCGGGCCTCCGATGCCTAAGTCAGTGCTCAGATCAAGAGAGATAAAGAGTAGTAATGTAATGAGGAGAGAATATCAGAGAATGAGGTACCTTGGCCCCCTTTTATAGGGGGAGTATACCTTTTGGGCCCAAGTTGGGCTTGACCCCTATCGTTGGGCTTGGATGTCTTAGTGGGCTTATCCTCCAATATGCATCCGCTTTATCCATTAAACTGGGTCAATAAAAAAACAAAAGCCCAAATTTCCAAGTCAAAACTAAACATTCTAAAAAAAAAAAAAAATACAAACTAAACAATGCATTTGATAATTTGATTTTAAAGACAATTTTTTATGGTAGATCTTAGATGTTGGTGAGGGGTGACATAGATGTGTTTTTTGTAATGGAATCAACACTCTATGGTTATTTGGTTTAAGTGAATACTTGAATAGTCTGTTTGTTTTAAACAAAATTTTGAAAACAATATGTTGGTTGTTTATTTTAAATTTTAATGAAACAAATACTCTTGGATTTAGTTTAAATGTTTGTCCCGGTCCCGAATGATAACGGTCCATTTGGGATGGGTAACAGGACAAGTCAAATCTCGGATTATCCCAAACTGCGCCCATCCCTAAAATTTACCATTAATGTGCTCTAAAAAATAAAACTTTCCATGATAACGTAAAGAAATCAAAAGTTGAAAAAATGACACTTTCAAATAAGACTTCAATAACCCAAATGCTGCCACAACCATATATTACACTTTGTGATTTTGAATAACTCCTTTTGATGATCAGTGTGTATTGATCACCAAAGCAAGTTGATATGTTCGCCGTTTCTTCTCAAACTGGTTGATAACACATCTTTTGTAAGACGTTGCCTTTAATTTAAAATTTCTTTCGGCGATGAATGTTTATGAGCGAATGTGTAGTAGGAGATCGCTGCTGATAATTGAGAGGCGATTGAAAATATTTATGCAGAGTCTGCCTTAAAAGGGACCTTTTCTCAACCTTAGTTTATGAGACTGCCTTGTCGTAAGGGTAGGATTGTCGAACATTCATCTTTACAAAGGTCACCAAGTCGAAAGATTCCATCGTCGATCGATTGAAGTGTTGTCTTGTTTAAGATCGCTCTTTCCTTACAAAGGTTTTACTGCTTTTAAATTGTTGATATGAAGAAATATTTTTTAGATCACTAGTTGTCTAGTAAAAAGAATATCTTCGACGAATAGAGAATGTTTTAATCTTTCTAAGAAAAAAGAAAATATTTTCGATAAGCCGATGTATCTTCAAGGAGATCACTTCCCATTAATTGGTTGGGGTATGCCCATTTTTCTATTGTGATTGCCTGATAAAGTGAGGCGTTACTTCAGCGTCAACTTTGCAGACATCTCTTGCCACGTCATGGAATTTTGTATGGGATGATAGTGATCTTATCAAAATATTACAGTGAAGTGATCGTATATAAATAATAAAACTAACAATTTGAACATGTGTAACTTTGCTTACCTATACACATCTTGATGTGCTTGTGCACCTTGAACCGGCTCCTCCCGTTCCTCCTGGTTTAAGCTCCCAAGAACCTGCGAGAACGCCGGGAAATCCCCCGGCGGTAGACCTCCGATGCTTAAGTTAGTAGGGTATTGGAAAGAGCACAGTATATATATTTAGGGTTTTGCAACATACCTCCTACCATATTCCTCACCTCATATTTATACCTGGATGTCTTGCTTATTCCTTACGCTTCACCTCCTTTACCCTGATTTCTTATATGGGCCGAGCCCATTATGCTGCCACTAATATGGGCCGATTTGATCCCACTTCACCCAATCCATATTTAATAAGTGAACGTACCCTCAGTTCTTGGACGCGTAAATGGACCAAGTGGCCCATTTAAGATAAAACTATTCTGCTTCCATGGACCGTCTTTGAATACCGGACCGAGTATTTACCAAGTAAACAGTGCCACACTTATATGCCATATCATCTAGCCCCCCATTATCAAAAGAGCCAAAGCGTATCAAGCTCAATGGACTCGTTTGATAATTATTGATGAAAATAAAATACATGGGCCGGTCGAATCGACTATCGAGTATAAAAATAAAATCGGATATGGCATAAGAAAACCGAGCATAATTGATGGTTCCCACCCATGAGATGTCTAAATGCAAAGGAAATTAACTGCCTCGAATTGCGAGCCCCATTTGTACTGTACCTGGAAGTGAAAAGACAAAAGCCTGACAATTGCTTTGGCTTCCCCCTCAAACTTTGACCTGCAGCCCCACTCTTGAAATTTGAATTTTGAATTCTCTTAGTGGAATTAAAGAAGGGCACTTCACCTGCCTTGTCCCCATAAATTTAATAACCTCAGCACCTAAATACACATCCCAGACCACACACTTCTGGGGCGCTATCAACGACAATTCCGCACAGCTCTCGTTCCCTCCCCACTGACCAGCAACGTCGGAACCATGGGTAAGTCGTCACGCCGTAATGCTCCCTCCCGTCATTCGTTGTTGTTTTTTTCGAATCATCCCTTCTCGATTTTATCTGCGTATATTGTTGATTTATCGGGTCCTTTGTTGTGTTATTGTGAAGCGATGTATTTGAAACGTTATGCCCCTTAAATCCATCGTTCTTATGCGCGTGTCGTTACGTGTACTCTAGATTTCGTGCTTGGTGACATTGCGGCCATACCCGTCACCCCTAAGCCCCTTGAACCCAGTTCAAGCCGAACCCCCGAAGAACCACTCACCCATTCGAAGACCTCCACTCCAGCCTCGCCCTCTAGGATATTTCCGAGCCGCCGTGATGAGACTGACGTGGATGTTCCCCGGGACTATCCCATGGAAATATTAGGCAGTGATTTGGCCTCGCTAGATGATGACCGCCACCATGGCATTCCCCTGCCGGATGCCGAGTTACGCGCTCGGCACGCGCATATTAACCTAAACGTGGATTCGTTAATCGATCCTGACATTACTTTAGCCACCACGGCCGTCACCATAGCTCGCCCCAATCCATTTTTCGGAGCCAATGAAGCTGCAATTTCGGCCTTCAAAAGGCTATGTGAACTTCCTCCCGACTGGGAATTTCAAGCACCCTCCCCCGGTAGCTCATATAGCCAACCCCCAGACGGCTTCTACACCTTCTTTGTGGATCAAGTAAAAAGCGGTCTTAGATTTCCGGTGAGACCCGATCTACTTTTATTAACCAGTCTTTACAACTTTCCCATCAACCAACTTGTACCCAATAGTATTCGAATCCTCATAGCCTACACCATCCTCAGTCACTACCATTTCGGTAGATTAGACCCCGAATTTTTCTTTTATTGTTATGGCCTTCACTCACATCAATGCGGATCATATTATCTTAGTGCCCGAAGGGGGGCTGAGTTTCTGAGCAATATGAACAATAAGATCAACCACTGGAGAACCCGTTTCTTCTTCCTCAAACCTCCCCCGGGCACATTTAAATTTACACCGGAATGGTTTACCACTATCAAAAAGGAACCGGTACCTAAGAAAAAGGTTCGATTGGATGAGCTCATAACCAAATGGAACAAAACCCCTTACGACATCCGGAAGTTGACCATTCCCGACAAGCTCCGATCGCATTACAGGCTCACCAATAAGAAAGTTGAACCTTTTGACTTAGGTATCAAACATTGAAATGTTATATATGGGCTTCTTTTCATGTCCTGAACATACCATGTGTATCGATATATGTACTAATCAATTGATAATATGTTTGCAGATAAGATCGTAGCAAGTGCCATCACCGAACCAACCAAGAAACGGCAACGAGTACGCCCCACGACCGCCGGTACAAGCGCATCCCAACGCCTTTTATCTCCTGGCCACCTGTCAGATGCTAACCTTTTAAAGAAGATCGTACCCGGCTCCCGAAAACGCCAATGGCCCAGTGAAGTGGAGAACCCAACACCCAAGGCGGGCATCGGGCTGGCCCAGGCATCCACCTCTACCATCCCACAACCGCCAGCTTTCTCCACTCATCTGGATCCATTAGCGCAATCCGCTTACCTAGTCTCCACCTTTTCGAGCAACGAAACCGATCGCTGGGGTGAAGATAACAAGCTTCGAGCCGAGTACTGTGTGAAGCGCCTCGCAGAGGTAAACACATCTTGTATCTCTCATCATATCGATAATATATTGTGCCATGATAAATTTTCCTTCCCTCTTTCAGCTTAATTCCGGTCTCGCCAGTTTCCTTCATGAGGCGATAACGGGTGAAGCTCCCTCCGCTGCCGAATATCGCAAGATCAAAACAACACATGACGACGCGGCAACCCAAAACAAGAAACTAGAGACCAAGCTTAAGATAGCCCAAGAGAAGATCAAGTCATTGGAGCTAGCCGTTACCCGCCATCAACAAGAAGTCGTCATACTCCAAACACAAGTCGAAATGGCCACGCAAGAGACGGCCAAAAAAGAAGCTGCTGCAAAACAAGAGACCTTTGATAGCCTACTCACGTCGCCCTACGGGACCCAGTTTCTCGAGGTGTACCGGGAGGAACTGCTCGACCTATACCATGACTCAATGCCGTTCTTGGTCCAGCTCAAACCGGCTGTGCTACAATATCTATTTATTGGGGCTACCCGAGCTCTCGAGCAAGCCCGAGCCACGGGTAAGTTGGACGGCTATGATGAGGCCGAGCTGATCCGAAAGCTTCCCGATCCGGAAGGATGGGCCGGGGACTCTAGCCTCCCACTCGATTTCCCCTGGTGGGAGCCGGTCCTTGAGCAAACTATGCAGAGTCTCGAAGAGCTGAAGAGAGCTGCGGAAGCGAAAGCTAATGATGGAGGGAAACAAACGGAGATGGACACAACGCTCGTCCCCACCGAATCCAATGCCGAGCAGGTTTGTCCAAGCAAGGAAAATATCGAGCCCGAAGAAAATGCTCAATCCTCTCAGACTGAACCAAGTGCCCAAGTCAACGAAGACATCGTCCTCTAGATGGTTGTTCCCTTATGATGTTTTGTGATTGTGATGATGTTGGTACTTAATCTTTTGCCATGTTGGTAACAGTGACCCTATGTATTCCATCCTTTGACATATTCTGTAATAGTGACCTTAATGGGCCTCGCTTACTTGATGTCTGGTAGGTGTTATATCTTATTTCATGGCACATTAAGTTATTGTGCCCATAAACTTGTCACGCGTCACAGATGGTCTAAAACAAAACCGCACGTAACCCTACCATAAATCACAAAGCGCCATCCTCTCGGTCCCTAAGAAACCGAGCACACCTTATCGGTTCGGTACCTTAATGTCCGTGTGAAACACAGCGAACCAAATACCCGCAACCCTTGATTAGCTAAGTCCCACCGGCTTGGTTCATGAAAAAACCGAGCCTACAAGTCGATCTGCTCGGTTTTTTAGCAAAAAACCGAACCCCCTTTGCGAGCTTCCGTCATGTGGAGAACCGAGCAAACACCATCCCTATCGCTATGCTCGGTTCATAAGCAACATGTGAGACCTTTTCATCTGCTCGGTCCATGAAGAACCAAGCGTCACAATGCCTATCATTGTGCTCGGTTCATAAGCGGGACGTGAGAGTGTTTCATCTGCTCGGTCTGTGAGAAACAGAACGAGCACTACACTTGGCATCAGTTTTTCATCCGCTCGGTCTGTGAGAACATACCGAGCACTACGCTTGACATCGAGTTTCTTCCACATGCCCGTGTGTGAGGCTTTCGCATGCTCGGTCCGTGAGGAACCGAGCAAACGCTTATACAATACCTCGCGCGAGAACTTGGTATCGCGTGTTCGAGTATCCGGGTTTAGAAGAAGCAATGTTTTGCAAAGTAACCCGCTCGGTCCCTGAAAACCGATCTAATGCCGGAGTGTGAGGCCGTTACCTCTTGTGGACAGCACCCGGACCTATGAGCCCGGCCTTAAGCCGTTACCTCTTATTTTGTGAACAGCACTCGAACTCGCCCGAGTTCGGTCTTAAGCCATCACCCTTTCGAACAGCGCCCGAACTCTCGTGAGTTCGGTCTTAAGCTGTTACCCTTTCGAACAGCGCCCGAACTCTCGTGAGTTCGGTCTTAAGCTGTTACCCTTTTGAACAGCACCCGAACTCTCGTGAGTTCGGTCTTAAGCTGTCACCCTTTCGAACAGCACCCGAACTCTCGTGAGTTCGGTCTTAGGCTGTTACCCTTTTGAACAGCACCCGAACTCTCGTGAGTTCGGTCTTAAGCTGTCACCCTTTCGAACAGCACCCGAACTCTCGTGAGTTCGGTCTTAAGCTGTCACCCTTTCGAACAGCACCCGAACTCTCGTGAGTTCGGTCTTAAGCTGTGACAACATGACACCTCACCACAAGCAAGTCAAACTTAGTAAAAAGAAAAGAAAAGTCCGCGGGTGCGGAATGCTACATGGGATATTCATAAACAAATTTTATTCAAAATCCAGCAACCAAAACCCGAAAACGCTTTTAAGCATGGTCTTCACGTAAAGAAAGAGTGTTTTTCACAAAAATAGCGACAAGACTAACAATAATATTTCTTAAGGTTGGCGATATTCCAAGGCCTAGGGAAGACCTTACCATCCAGATCTTTCAACTCATAAGCCCCTCCAGCAAACACTTTCTGAATAACGTAAGGTCCCTCCCAATTTGGTTCTAGCTTTCCGACATGTTTTAACACATCTGCTCTCCGCCATACAAGATCACCCACTTGGAAATCTCTCTTCTTTACCTTCTTAGCATGGGCTAGGCACATTCTCTGTTTGTACTGCACAGTCCTCATCCAGGCTTGGTCTCGTGTTTCATCAATGAGTTCGAGTGCCTCCTTGGCCAGTTCCTCATTCCTTTCCGGTTCAAAAGCAGCCGTCCGCTGAGATTGCAAGCCGACTTCCACCGGGATCACTGCTTCCATCCCATATACCAAGCTAAAAGGAGTTTCTCCTGTTGTTGACCTCGGCGTGGTTCGGTATGACCAAAGGACCGTGTCCAGTTCATCCACCCATGCACCCGAAGCCCTGCCAAGCCGAGTTTGCAACCCACGCAATATAGTCCTGTTGGCCACTTCCGCCTGCCCATTTGCTTGAGGGTGTGCCACCGATGCGAAATGTTGCTTTATGCCCATCTCCTCACACCAAGCCATAATCTTCTTTCCTCGGAATTGCGGGCCGTTGTCAGAAATTATAACCCGCGGGATGCCATACCTACAGCAAACATTAGTGAACAGAAATTTTATGACCTTCTCCTCAGTAATCTTGGCCATTGCCTCAGCCTCCACCCACTTGCTGAAATAATCCACAACAACAAGCAGAAACTTCCTTTGTCCAGAGCCCTGCGGGAAAGGCCCCACTATATCCATTCCCCACTGAGCAAATGGTAAAGGCGAACTCATTGGCACTAGCTCTTCTGCGGGAACATGTATGAGTTGCCCGTGCTGCTGGCAATTAATGCACTTCTGCACCAACTCTTTCGCCATGGCTCTCATTGTTGGCCAAAAGTATCCGGCCCGTAACACTTTGCTCGTCAAAGCCCGTGCTTTAATATGATCTCCACAGCAGCCCTCATGGACCTCCCTTAATACATAATCTCCCTCTTCCTCGGAAACACATCTCAGATGAGGTCCCAAATACGACCTTTTGAAGAGCACCCCTTCCTGGACAAAGAATCGTAATGCCCGTCGACCCAACTTATCACCCCGCACGTCCTGCTGTCCCAACTTGGCTCGGGCTAGCCAATTTAAGATGGGACTCCTCCAATCACTCTTTTCTTCCAACTCTAACACCCTGTCGACGATACTGGACCCCGTTTGCATCAAAGTGACTGATCGTGACTTGCAATCAACAAGTGAAGCTGCCACCTTAGACAACAAATCCGCTCGCCCATTCTCCTCCCTGGGTATCTGCACAAGCTGCCACGACTCAAAACTCTTAGCCAACGCCCGGGCCTCCTCTGCATACTTCCCCATCCTTTCTTCCTTAGCTTCATATTCCCCTTTCATCTGTTCGACTACTAACTGGGAGTCTGAATGTATGACAACTTCCCTAGCTCCCGCACCCGCCACCAACTGCATTCCCTTTAGTAGCGCTTCATATTCCGCCTCATTGTTGGAGGCTCTGAAAGTGAGCTTTACCGCAAACTCCAGTGGTTCTCCTCCTGATGGCAAGATGAGGACACCAACTCCCGCTCCGATTTTAGTCGAAGATCCGTCAACATATACCTCCCACACACCTGGCTTTTCATCCATCGTGCCCTCCTGAATAAAATCCGCTAAAGCCTGTGCCTTGATCGCTCTTCTCATTTCGAAACTAACATTATACTCCCCCAGCTCGACCGCCCATTTAACCATCCGACCAGAAGCTGACGGTCTGCCTAACGTTTCGCTCAGAGGGAAATTTGTGCGTACAACGATCATATGTGATAAAAAGTAAGGTCTCAATTTCCTAGCGGTAATAATAAGGGCCAAGGCCTCCTTCTCCACCTCGGCGTACTTCATCTCCGCCCCCTGCAACAATTTGCTTACATAATAGATCGGCTGCTGCCCCCCTCCATCTTCCTTCAACAGCACCGAGCTAATGGCCACTTCACCCACCGAAAGATACAAGATAAGCACGTCCATCGGATCTGGTTTGGTGAGCAGAGGTAGGGCGGCCAAAAATTCTTTTAACTTATCAAAGGCCTCTTGCGCCTGTGCCGACCACTGAAATCGAGCTCCCTTTCGCAAAGCTCGAAAGAATGGAAAACTTCGTTCTGCTGCGCGTGCTATGAATCGACTAAGACCCGCCAACCTTCCCGTGAGGATCTGCACTTCTTTGATGGTCCTAGGCGGTTGCATATCAAGTACCGCCCGCACCTTCTCTGGGTTTACTTCAATACCACGCTCAGTGACCATGTATCCCAGGAACTTTCCCGATCTCACTCCAAATTTACACTTAGCAGGGTTTAGCTTCATCTTATACCTTCTTAAAGTTCTGAAGGTCTCCCTTAAGTCTCCCACGTGGTCGCCTTCTTGATGACTCTTCACCAACATGTCATCTACATATACCTCCATATTTCTTCCTAATTGTCCCGAAAACATCTTATCCACCATCCTCTGATAGGTTGCCCCCGCATTGCGTAAACCGAAAGGCATGACAATGTAACAATAAGTCCCCTTCGATGTAACAAAGCTTACCCTCTTCTGGTCCTCCACAGCCAGCGGTATCTGGTGATATCCTTGCGATGCGTCCATCATACTCAACAACTCACATCCCGCCGTCGAATCTACCAATTGATCAATGCGCGGCAAAGGGTAATGATCTTTAGGGCATGCTTTGTTAAGGTCGCGGAAGTCCATACACATGCGCCATTTGTTCTCTGCCTTCTTCACCATCACTTGATTCGAGAGCCACTCCGGGAACTGGATGGGTTTAACGTGCCCTGCCTGGATCATCTTTTCCACCTCCTTTCCAATAACAACATCTAATTCTGCTCCGAAATGTCGACGCTTCTGCTTGACAGGCCTGATCTTTGGATCGATGTTTAATTTATGCTCGGCCACCTCGCGATCAATGCCCACCAAGTCCTCCGGGGTAAAAGCAAAAATATCTACATACTCCCGTAACAGGGTTACCAGCTGCGTCCTGATAGGTTCCTGCAATGCCGCTCCAATCTTCGTCACCTTCTCGCACTCCCCTTCCACGAGGGCAATTTCCATTAGTTCGTCTTGCGGGATCACCTCTGTCCTGGCTTCCTTGCCCCTGCTCGAACTCTCATCCTTGACCTTTCCTGAGGCAGTCTCCATACTCTTTCTCTTGTGACCCGCCTCCAACACCGTCTGGTAACAGCTCCTCGCCAACCTTTGGTCTCCCGTCACTTCACCAACAAGATCGCCCACTGGGAACTTCATTTTCATGCAATATGTTGAGACTGCGACCTGGAACGAGTTCAAGCTGGGTCGCCCTAAGATGACATTGTAAGCCGAGTCTGCCTTCACCACCACAAAACGAACCGCTTTCACCTTCCTGAGCGGGGGAGTACCCAAGGCCATGGTCAACTGCACTTCCCCTAACGGCACTACTTCAGCGCCACTAAAGCCAAACAACGAAGTTGTGATTGGTGTGATCTCCATCCCCAGATCCATCTTCCTAAAACACTCGTAAAACATAATATCCGCCGAGCTCCCAGTATCAACCAATATCCTCTCCACGTCATAGTTCGCGATCTCCGCTGTCACCACCAACGCATCATTATGGGGTGTCAGAACTCCTTGAGAGTCCCTCGCTCCAAAGGTCAAGTCTGGTATGGGTTGAACGATCTGAACCTCAGCCACGCTCTCCCAATCAGCCCTTAGGTTGGCCTTCCTGGCTGCATTAGAATCTCCGTCCGTTGGTCCTCCTGCTATCATATGGATCACACCCCTTTTCAGAGCCCTTTCTCCCTGCTCCTCTGGCCTCCTCTTCCGATCAACTCCTTCAGTATCATCTTTCTTCCCTCTATCTTGTACCACAAACTCCTTTAAGTGTCCGGCCCTTATCAATCTCTCAATCTCATCTTTGAGCTCCTTACAGTGATTTGTCCAATGCCCGTAGTCACGATGATATCTACAATAAGGATCCCCCTTCACCGGGGCCTTCCCAGACCTTTTTGGTAGGGGCTGGGGCTTTCCGAACATCTTAGTCTCCCCCCGCCTTTCCAACATCTCATATACTTGCCCCCTTGGTGATGTTAGTGGTGTATAATGCTCATACTTGAACCCTAAGCGCCCCCTATCGTCACCCCTGTAGTCCTTTCCCCCTGACTTTCTATCATCTAGCTTATGTTTTTCCTCCTGTTTCTTTCCCCGAGCTCGGTCATGGGCTTGGAAATCTGCCTCAGTTTCTTCCATATTCATGTACTTAGTACATCTCTCCAGCAACTCATCATACGACCGGGCGGGCTTTTTGGCTAATGAATTCCTGCAATGACCCGCTTTCAACCCCCTCGTCAATCCGCCCGCCTTTATTTCCTCAGTTGCCGTAGGGACCTCCACACATGCGCGAGTAAATCTAGCGACATATTCCCTAAGAGATTCGTTCTCACGTTGTTGCATGTTCATCAAGGACATATACGTCTTCTCGTGCTTCCTCGCGCTAGAGAACTGATTGATAAACAATGAACTAAATGCATCAAAGCTGTAAACAGATCCTGGAGGTAACTGGTGAAACCAATCTTGAGCCGGCCCCTTTAAGGTTGTCAGAAAGGCTCGGCAACAAACGCCATCACTATACCTATGTAAAACCGCCACATTCTCAAAGCTCCTTAGATGCCTCGCTGGATCTGAAGACCCATCATAATGTATATTTGGCTCTCGAAAATTCTGGGGTAAGTCGGCGCCTAATACGTCATCAGTAAAGGGGTGACCCTGCATCCTGGGCTGCCGCCTACCCTCTACCCTAGCTTGGAGCTCCTTAATTTGGTTGGCCATTTGTTCCATCAATACATCCCTAGGCAGCCTGGGAACCACTGGTGACACCACCGACCTCTCCTCTTGGTCATCCCTGCGGTGGACACTCCCTCTTAAAGGCCTAGACAGCACCGGAGCGTGTTGCTCCACCTCAACGACTGGGCGTTCCACCACAACGACAGGCCGCTCCTCAACCACCACGGGCCTCTCCGTTATCGCAGTTGGCCTTTCCGCTGCCGCCACCTCCCGTGCTACCAATGCCCGGCTTACCGCCTCCGCAATGAGGCGATCCAACTCCCCTCTAGTAACCTGCATCACCGGCGCTACACCCTCTGTCACTACTGCGGGCACTGACGTCCGCATCACCAACTCTTGACTTGCTCCCTGTGTCACCAAGCCCTGCTCCTGATCCGATGGGGGAACTGGTGGTACCCCTTGTATCGTAACAGGGGGCGTAGTCATCGAACCATCTCCAGCAACCCATCCCTTTGGCGGTCCTCCCCCATAGGGCGTCTTTTCGATCCATGCCTCGTTCAAGCTATCGCTCAGATTCCTCCTTGATTGCTCATCTGCAGTCACGTTCGTCATCTTCACGTCTCCAATCGGTAGAAAAAATAGTAAGTCCCACAGACGGCGCCAATTGATGTGCTTGTGCACCTTGAACCGGCTCCTCCCGTTCCTCCTGGTTTAAGCTCCCAAGAACCTGCGAGAACGCCGGGAAATCCCCCGGCGGTAGACCTCCGATGCTTAAGTTAGTAGGGTATTGGAAAGAGCACAGTATATATATTTAGGGTTTTGCAACATACCTCCTACCATATTCCTCACCTCATATTTATACCTGGATGTCTTGCTTATTCCTTACGCTTCACCTCCTTTACCCTGATTTCTTATATGGGCCGAGCCCATTATGCTGCCACTAATATGGGCCGATTTGATCCCACTTCACCCAATCCATATTTAATAAGTGAACGTACCCTCAGTTCTTGGACGCGTAAATGGACCAAGTGGCCCATTTAAGATAAAACTATTCTGCTTCCATGGACCGTCTTTGAATACCGGACCGAGTATTTACCAAGTAAACAGTGCCACACTTATATGCCATATCACATCTAGTATTAAAAAAAATGCTAATTTAGATATGCATGATAGAAAGACCTCATTTGTTGTTTGATGATGTCGTTTGATCGACTCGGTTGCCTATTTGCAGAAATAAAAGTTATTCAACATGTCTTAGGAATAAAAAATGATCGGCATGTCATTTTTGCACGGGAAGATATTATATCTTTGCACATATCATCCTTTTTTCGGTGTGATCAAACACGACGATCAAGGATCAATAAAAACTACATTTGATTGTCTTGTCATTTTACTTTTTTGCAGAAATCCCAAGAAGCATCTCTGCGCTAATCAGGTGTGGATGTGTCGATCGGCTTTATCACCGTTGATAATGTGGGTGACTTGTGGCCTCAGCTGATGTTGATGGTGTTGTAGTACAGTTTGTTATTTTTACCAAGTACCGAGTCGAAAGATTCGTTCCCCGGGTAGATCTCTCGAGGAAGGCGGTTAGGAATTCAGAAATGATATTGATAGCACATAAAAGCAAAATAAATCCTAAACATACTAATAAGATTGGGGATAGGAAATAATATAAAAACAATAATCTACCTAAAATTATAAACGAAACAAAGATGGAGATGCTAGAAAATCGGGGATAATTTATTCAAAATCTATTCGCAAAACCGAGACATTGATCGTTCGATTCTAGATTGATGCTCTCGCTAAATCATCTACCGATTCGCTCCCATTAACTCTTCGTAACAAGGGATTGAATATAGACAAGCAAGCTCGAGCATACACACAGACCAATTATCCCAATCTCTATAACTTTTTGTAACAAGGGACGGGTCATTGACAAGCACGTATCTATCCAGAACCTGTAGACTATTCAATTACGAAATCATCTACCTCATGCTAGCCTAGGTCTACGACTTCTCCCCTTTAGATTCTAAAAGTCACTAAATCAATTAGAAGGTGATTAATCAACTAATCACATAGAATTAACAAACTCTAACTCGACAAATTAAAATTCAATCGTTTCTAATTGCAAGATCGAAGTGTCACTTTTGATTATATCTACCCATCAAGCAAGAATACATCAATCCCTAATCAATTAACTTGCACAAGAATGAACAAATCAAGCCCGACATATACGAAATTAAATAAGCACAATCATCCCTTATCCCTAGCAATATGAATTAGTTATGTAACATGAATTCAACACAATCAAGCAATTCAACCCAAATAATCATTCTCATGAATTACACTAGATTGAAAAACTTACAATCAATCCAATCCAAGAGTTGAATTCGAGTTGCAAGTTTAATTCCTAACTAATAAGAAGAAGAAGAAAAAAAATGGAAAAGAATAATGAAAAGAAGAGGAAAATAAAGAAGAAGAAGGAGAGGAGAAGAAAATGAGAAGAAGAGAGGAAAAACTGAAGAAAAACGAGTTTTGGGGTCCTCCCTCAGGTCTGGGAACATGCATAAACATGTAGGGATCGAAAACCGAGCAAAAATAGGTCAAAAATAAGTCGAGTCGCGCAGGGCGCCGCGGCGCGAGGGGTGCCACGCCGCGGCCGTGCCTGGGAAGCTCTCTGGTCCAGTCGTGGCAGGTGTCGCGCCTCGGCACGGGCGCGGTGTGGGGCTGTTCTGCACAACTTTGTGTTTTTTGCTCGTTTGAGCTCGTCCAAACTCAGAATTGAGTTTCATTTTTTCCTACGCCTCGCCAACGAACCCTTCTATTATATATGATTGCCCAAACAATATTTTTCTGAAATCCTATCCTCATGAAGCATCAGACCTACACACCATAAACGTGAAGGAAAATGGAGAAAATCGAGAAACGAACGAAAAAAACATAGAAAACTCAAAATAAAGGAAATTCCCAACAAAACATTAAAAAAACTAAAAAAAAAAATAAAATACCTAATATGGGGAAAAAGAAAGGCAAAAAGATAACAAAAAATGCAACAAAAATAGGATAAATATATGGGTTATCTCAACCCTAGGTTGAGGTTTACTTTGTAGTTCCTTGTCTAGCATGTCCAATAATCTTGCAGCACAAACCAAACGTGCCCATCGGGCAGCCAAATGACCATGATCAAGACTCTGTCAATAATCGCCCAACAGTTACAAAATCAATCGCAAGATTGTAGTGTTATGGGCATGAGGAGAGGATCTTGTCGGATTTCATGAAGACAACTTTGTCTGATCTTTCCTCGGGCCCCCATCCTCAAGCGGGCTGAGATTACTCGATGACCAATGGACCATCTACCCTCACATTCTTGTCGAGGATGGACTAGTCTATCCATATTGTTGTCGAAGGTGGGCTAATATGAGGGTTTTCCCAAAATCGTAGATCTAGGATTTTCGTTGGGGAGAAGGGAAAAAGGCAAATATTTGGAAAATTTAAGGGAAATGTCGACAAGATAACAAGGCTATCAGAAGCGATAGGGTCGGCTGAGTCACTCATTCATCCAACCGAGGATAGAAATGAGAGAGTCCGATGTGCGGCCAGTCATCTGATAAGGGTTTATAGAATAGATGAAAGGAATGTGTGTGACAAAACCTTATCGGGACTTAAATTTTTACACGGGTAAGGTCCAGATGTAACCCTTGATGGTTGTCCTTCTTCTAGCGTCAGTCTGTTGACGGTGGTCAATCAATGAATATGACAAGCGTCTTTAAGGCAGTTTAATAGGGGGTTATGATAAAATTATGGTGTTTTACATAATACAGAATATGAAGATCGAAATATAATAAATATGCGTAAAAGTAAAGCAAGACACTGATTTTGCCGATTGGCTGTGGTGATAGGCAAGAAGATATTTTCTTCGAACTTTTATTAGAACGTATGTGATTATGGATGCAGCTGAGGATTTATGGTATGTCATCTTCAGGAGATCAGATATGTCAGAGTATGTGGGGAGTGGTGATGATCGTGGGGATCGTGATTTCCCCTTTTGGGGTCTTTCGTAGATGAATTTTGCTTGGAATGGTCTGTTGTGACCTGGGTTGGCTTGTGTTGAGTTGCTTCTATCGAGCTTGATGGACGGTATTTATACACAAAGGTGGGAACACATTAAATGTGGGGTTCCATCTAGGGACGTAGGATGGCGCCACGCGTTTTCATGCAAAAGTTGATTGGACATCTCAGGCGATAATATCAGTTATATGTGGACGTGTTCAAATAGTAAAGGCGATTGCCAGTCTTCCCTGGAAAGCTTCCGCAGGCGATTGACCTACTGATTGGGTGATCGACAACTCTAATGGTGTTTGCTTGGACCATCCGTGATGCGATTTACGTGTCTTAGTCCCAATTCGTCGCTTTGGGCTAAGATATGAATGTGAGCCAAGTCAACTATGTGATCGGATATTTTTAGGTACAACGTATGAATAAAATTAGATCTACCTAAGTTACTTACAACACTATAGATAGACACATAAAATTACAAAACGCTAAGAATCTATACATAGT